CAATGTAAGTCATCATAATCTCAAAGCGGTTGCGTTCGAAACGAGGTCCTATGGTACTCAACACACACACCAGTAACATCCGAGGAACCGTTAAGTTGGTGATCTCTTCAGGAGACGAAACGAGTGTCAAGCCTGCTGGTAGCCCGATGCAGCATTGGCTAAAAAACTGGAAAATTGCCAAATGCATAGTTGACATGGAAGTATCCCAGTAACATCACTAACATCGGATTCACACAGTGATTGTCCGGTTGGTCTTGGTATTGCTGGTAGTCAATACATCATCGTAAAGTTCGAGATACTACCCAAGACCTTTTGAGAGATGATTGCACTGACGACAAAGCAATGATGACAGCTTAATATTTACAAAAGTGTGAATATCAGCTTAATGTGAAGCTGGCCGAGTTCTGCAATGTGATGATGACTGTGAAACCCATTAGTGAGTAAGCGACCAGTGTGACTCTCGCCGAATGAGAGTTGCCTCACTCTCCCTCACTCCCTCATTCCCTCTGCGCGTGTATATATGTGTATGTGCCAGCTGTATAAAGCACTGTATAAACATTGAAATGAATTGCACAGATGTGTGGATTCAATGAATCCGCCTGTCCAACTCACCCGGGCAGTGCTTGTTCAATTTTCAATAAGGGACCAAGTTTATCAAATTTCGCACCTCATTTTGCCTCCTATTAATTACTCATTGTATTACAGAAATGTCCAAATTTTTATTACCTCACCCAGTTCTCTGTTGTCAAAAAACAGTGGTCGCGGAACATGCTTTCAAAAATTACAAAACAAAGTAATCGGTGTAAAGCAGTAAAATGAAAAGGAAAGTTTGCGATTTTAAGCGATTACCGTTGTTTTATGTTTTATTATTTGGTAGGAAAATAACTGAAGATGATCAGTTCTGGATTACTAAGATCATCGCCCGGATATTAGTGTAGGTGTCCCATGTTAGTGATTTAACTGGAACTGTACTTCTGGATAATACTAGTGAAAATAAAGAAAGAGTAACTTGATAAGGATCTTTAAGTGACTCATTTCGTTAGGGGATCCCTCCTATCCTGGAAATGCGATATCCAAAAATGGACACTTCTCCTTGTTTCAACCTTTTGTTTAGATATTAAAATCAATGTCAAAGATCCTTCCATGCTTCCCGGTCTAAATAAGACTAAAGCACCACAAGGTTCAAATGGCAACAAGATATTTCCAATAAAAACCACTCATTGGCAAGATCGCCAATAATTTTCCCTTTCTCAAAAGTCCAGGAGACAAACTGAAGGAGGTTTGGCTTTCTGCCAAGTTGAACGTACTTGTACCAATTTATCACCGATATTAGACAGAGAATGAATGTCCCACGAAGATTTGTATCAGCTGTTCGATTCTGGATGAATATGCCACCTGTAGTCCTGGCAACTTAAACAGCTGATCAAATATCTATTAACAAAAAAAGTACAGGAGTTCACCGAAAAGTTCAAAATTTCTTTATCCGTCTGTGTATTCCAACAAAGTAAACTACGTAGTTCCAGGTGTGTAATTTAAATTTTTTTTTCAAAATTTTGATGCTTTGCTGTTTGTCTAATATTACCGAGAATATTAAGACTGTTGACTATTACTGTGAGGTATCCCATGTTTGTGATTTTGTTGCGCTGCTTCCAAACTCGATTTGGCTGGGCCAGGACCTTCGATCCTGGACTACGTGCTTCTAGTTATTGTTTACCGCCTGTTCGATGTATGTGTGCCATCTCTTCGGGAACTGCTCGGACCATAGTTTTCTTGCTCGCGGGTGCCACTCACTAATACTCGATTTCTGCCATTGCCGGCAAAACGAACAACTTTCGCAGTATTTACGAAGATGTTAAGGAAGCAAACATAGGCTTAACGTGAACGGAAAAAAACTTATAACACGTAAGCTCGAAAAACCTGAGCAGAGCAGAAAGAACTGTGGAAAACTGACGATTTGCTTGTAGAACAGCTGGATCGAATAATGACGCTTCCATTAAGCAATTCAATTCAGTTCTTTACTTTCATTATTATAGCAATTTATTTTTAGTGATAATTACAGCTTTTGATAAAAAATTGAAGCGTTGAGACGATAATCATAGCAATATCGATAAGAGTCCCAACGAAAATGCCAATAGTATTCTGCTTCAGAACGTAAAAAAATTTTATCCGTCCAAAAAATACTTGTTTTTTAAGTTTAAAATTCATCTTTTTCTCATTCCACATGTCCTTTGAAATCTCGAAAAATTAAGATATAACGCAGTTTTTT